GGGAAAAAAAAGAGAAAAGTTGTCATGTGTTCTTTAATTTGAGTGTCAGCTGGTACATAACGGAAACCAAAGCCAACCAAGTAAGTGTTAACAGTAATTCTACAAAATTTCATCCTTTTTAAAATTTCATCCTTCCCACTGTAAAGTGCCTGAATGTCAAAAGTGCCTGAATGCAAAGGTATTTTATATTATGGATCTGACCAAGTAACTCCTTCACCACTAGAAATGGATCTAATGGATAACTTTGTAAAACCTTGGTGACACAGTATATCAATTCAGTGCCATGATACAGCAGAGAAAGCCAAGTCTGCCTTTCTTGTAAGACAGGCAAGGTCCTTCTTCTGAAATCAGTTTTATATAAATTTGCAGAGTAATGGACTGCTGGCTTCGAAAATGTACACTTTAAAGCTGTGTGAGATCCTGACTATATTGCAAGATGGTGATGAGGGGATTCAGTTCTGCTGCACTGCAACTTCTTGCAGTACCTTTTCATAAAGCTACTGGTAATTTTATATGTGGAAAAGGTGAAGCCTTTCTGGAAGGAAGGGTGGGAGAAATAGGGTCCCCATGAAGAACTTCTATCAACATGAGCAGATTTAGTCCTACCTGGTTGTCCTAGGACATTGCTAGAAGGATGGAAGAGTATTATGGAGAGAGTAAGACTTATCTAACTCAGTTGGAGGAGGGACAAAAAGGAAGCTTTATCTTTTCTCTAATTAGCTTCTGGAAATGTGGACAAGCAACAAAATGATGAGTCCTAACACATGAGCACAGTGCTTGTGCAGTCATTTGGCCAAAAGGTTTCAGCAGTGAGTAATCCCTTGTTTTCTGTCTTCTAGCAGACACCTACATTATCTCAATACACCCAGTAGTTCAGTAATGAGCCTGTATTATTTCTCATTTATCAATGTGCACTTAAATGGCCACAAATAAGAGGGGTTATTGCATTTGGTAAAAAAAAAAATTATGTCCAAGGGGGTAGAATGCAAACTACAATGAATGTGTAGATATGACTTATAAATGCAGAACTTTAATTATCCTAATTGCAATGCTACCACCTATAACCTGACTTCACTCTTTTTTTTTTATGATTATATCAACTTATTTCTCTCTATTCAGTTGTTTGGCCAGCTCCATATTGCACCAATTTTTTGTTACTTAGAAAGCCAGGCCATCATCAGACCATAATAGTCAGCTACATGCTAAGGCCTTACACATCTACTATTGTACAAGTAAATTAGGTTAATTAGGTATTACTATCATCACTACTGCATTTTTGCAGTAAATAGAAAAGAGAATTAAAAATCTGTTATTGTTGCTATTTTTGATTCTAGTGTGTAATGTATCTGTTTGAACAATGTCTCTAACAATATTCCAATACCTTATCATTTGAGTGGTATGGCTAAGGAATCTGGCTGGGAGAGCTTTGATCCTATTTGTATTTGTTTCTACCAAATACACATAAAGTGCATACTCTATGGCAGCATCAAAATTTAGCAAGCAACATTATTTTCTGTCTGAACAACAAAATTTTGCGTTTTAGGTATTCAAGAGAAACATCTGGCTTTACCCAGGCAAGAACCTGGATTTAAAGCCAAGCATTAAATCCATCCAGGAGGAGACCACACCAGTCCAATTGCCCTGTAAAGATGGTGTGTGTCATCTGCCAGCAACAAATATTGGAAGAGATCCTGCCCCTCTGCGTCCTGTGTGATTAGTAACACGTAAGAACTGGGTCCATGAAGCCGGTTTTTCTTTTTTTCCCCAAAATGCACTGATACAAATTAATCTTTAGTTTACAGCCTGAAACAGCCCCTTGAGAACCCCTCCATAATAAAGCTCATCTTTGCATTTTATAGAGACTAGACTTAAAAAGAAGAAAATATGTGAAACAGGGCTAGATTTTTCTTCATTGTCAGTAAGAGGGTACAAGTACTACCTCAATTTTTCAGTTATTCTGTAAATAATGTCTCACTGCATTTTCTTTAGGAGTATATAAAACTGCCTGGCTTTCATATCTTGATGTACACAGTACATTCTGCTACGAGATCAAGGCAAGTTCATACCCCTATCCTCAAATTCTTTAATGCCTTAGGAAAATGACTGCTACAAATATTTGGGGGTTAGAAGTGCACACAGAAATTACCAGTAGCATTTCCCCTTTGATTGCCATCATTCTGAATAACAAACACTGTCACGGTAGAAAGAGAGCAAGATGACATGATACCACATAAAATGACACTACCTAAAACATACCTGTAAATGAAAGCTTTGAGAAAGTGCTATCTTTTTAATAGGAAATATAGCTCACTTGAATGAATATGCAATATTCTCTCGGGGTTTGAATTAAATACAGACCTTAATAATTACCCTAATTACTTCTGTTGTGATTCTACCTTTGAGTCTACATGAAACAAACATCTAACAATTAGTTACATTTTAATTTAATCAACTGGTTTTGAATAAACAGCTGTTAGTATTTCTTTTAACAAACCTGTTCTTTTAGAAAGACCAAAGACAAAATTGTTTGTTTCGATTTAGCATCCAACATGTCATTTAGTTTGGACTAACATATTTATTTGGATTTTTTGCCCAGCAACCAAAGTTCTCTATCTGGCCACAAAAGAAATACAACAAAAGCTACAGCAGAAGGTGGAACACATTATTTGGTAACACATCTCAAACACAGCCTGGACAAACCACCTCTGAGGGGAAAAACATACATCACGTTTCAGCTTCCAAGCCCAATTTAGTCTTCAGTCTCTCAACTGAGCCTGTCAATTAGGGCGTCAATTAGGCCTTGATCCAGCAGAGCACCGAAGCATGTGTGTAATCTGAGCATATGAATAACCTTGTTGCTCACTGCAAATCAGGATGATAGTGACAGGGGAAAAATGAACAGGACCACCAGTTCATTCTCACATACAGCAATTACATCACACCTTAAAATATTTTCTTGATGAAGCAACAAACTGGAAAATTGTGGCATTTGTCATCTCTGCTCCTTTTGGAGCCAGTATAAACCAAGGTTGCTGTTCATCTTCTTTTTTAGTTGGCAGAAAGAAACTAGATATTCACTCCTCTAAAACTACATGAGAAATTATTTTCTTCCAAAACAGACCTGATTTAAAGTGGCGTCTCTTTTTATAAAGCTATGCAATAATAAAATTGTTTCTTATGCATAGTGCAAACAAGATTTTCAATATTTGACTTGTTAGTAGACTTGGCACTAGTGAGACTGCTGCTCCCAGATACGTAACTAGAAGTCATTTACTGTTTTGTGCCTGAGCTTGCCTGTATCTAACATGAAGAGCATGATCCCTCTCCTTTTTCAAAGCACTGAGGTCTCTCAATTATAGAAACACTCCCCTAGAATAACTTTTTGCTGTTGTTCTTGGACATACATACCGTAGCTCCTGAGGCACATCAGTAGCCATTGCAAACTGATGCATATTCCTCTCCACGAAAGTAAAAAAATGTAGCTACATCATGAGATTTCCCAGTTAGAGAATCACAAAGGACTGCACAACGATGTGCCTGCAGAAGTACTGGTGGAGGGGGAACTGAGAATACCCAACTCAGGACTCCACTGGGCTGTTGTAGTAGTTTTACTCTCTGGACGATCCCTTAGTAACTAGATGAGAAACACAGAAATGTCGTCTTTAAGAACTTTCATCTGATGTCTTCAAAGCTTATTCCCATGCAAGTTTTAAAATACCACAAATGTTTGAGATAAACTATGCAACGTGGAGCTTGCTAATGACAGAGGCAAGCCAGCCTTGGCACCATGCTTTCAATGCTAGGCAAATGCAAGTAAAAATACTGTGATAGTTCCAATCCACATTTTCCTCCCCAAGTCTGATGTTAGCCTGAGAGACCCACACCCTGACCAATTCTTTTATCATAACTGCAGAGCAAGTGATACAACAAGGAACACAAAACTAGGTTCAGGGTTTTGCCACACTCAGTTACCAAATGATTACATGCTGGGTGATGCCACTCAGAAAGGAAAGGGATCCAGTAAGAACCTAACCTTGCTCCCACTGGAGTTTGCAGCAAAACTTACACAGAAACAGAATGAAACCTAAATTTGACACCAATGTTAAAACTGATGGACGCCTTTCTATAGCCTGTCAAGTCAGTGATAGGTTGTTTGTACCTCTGATTGTTAAAGGGAAATTACCAGATCAGAATTCTGAATCCTTATAATAAATGAACTTTTAAAAATGTAACGCTTCTCAAACACTGTGTCATATGTTTTGTCAGGCTAGTGTAACACAAAAGGTTGTGATGTATACATTAAGATTTAAACGCACTCTCTTTGTAAGTGACAAGAAACGTGCAGCCTTTCCATCGTTTTTTACACAAGAAAATGAACTCATTATTTCTATCTTAAGATTCAACCTCAGAAGTATCTCAACAGCAGTGTTTTTTACCTTCTGAAAATGGCTGATCCTAAAATGCTTTTGCGGTTTTCTACTGAGAGAAAAATAGTTTAAAAAAAACCCACTGGCATTGCAAAAACTCTTCTGTCCAATGCATTGGCATGTTTACTTATCAACACATGTCCAGGGCTCACCCAAACATCCTTCCTCCTTTGAACAAAACATCTTTCCCCAATTTCTGGGTTTAAGCAGAAAAAACCACATGGTGGAAGGTGCATGCAGTCTATCTCAGGAGCCAGAAAACAATTTTAAAATGTGTACAGGGCTACAACAGTTAAATCTGAAAGCTGCTGAGAAATTGCTTGGATGCTATGAGCAAAAAGTGTGGTTCCAGAGTATAATCCTAGTGATACACTATGTTCTTTGCAAAAGGTTGTGAGGCCTTGGCCTAATAAGCATAATCTCATTACACTGCAAATAAAAGTTTCCTATTTATCTCCAGATTTCAAATGAATCTAATAAGGCTTATGATACAGTCACCCAATACCCTAATCATATTTCTGCCTATCTAAAAGCAATCAGTAATTGTGTTATAGCAGAACGTGCTGACAATACCTCTGACACAGAAAGGAGAATGAGAGCCCAGCTGTACTAATTAAATTAAATGCTAGGCTGATGGAATACATTTGCTGAAGCTTGGAGAGTATGGGTGCAGAATTAATAAGCATTACAGCTCAGAGCAGGAGATGATATCATAATGGATGCAAGGTTTTGATGTGGAGAGCCTCATTCAGATTCAATGTACCATAATGTACGGATGTGACAGCTGCTTAGAGAGGTGCAGAACCTTGAACAAAGTGCACAGGAACTTTCTCTGCCCCCTCCTTCTTTTTTTTTCCCCCTCCCCTCTCTCCTCCCCCCATCTTTTTTGTTACTTACTTAGGAATTGTATTTTAATATTATCCATCAGCTCAGAAAATACTCTGTTTGGGCCACAGTTTACTATTTATTGCTATCCTACTGGTTTGCACTGCTGCTTCTTTTCTTCCCACCTTTTCCCGTCTGCGGTTTTAAACTTATCAGCCATTTAAATTCGAGAAAAGCCCTTTGAAAAACAGTTTATAATGTTATATATATATATATATATATGGTTAATAATCATTTTGCCTTTCGTCCCTCTTTCTTATTATTTTTAATGCCAGAAATCCCGAGGGCGGGGGAACTCCTGCAAGGGAGACGAAAAACCAAACGCACACCACCTCGGTCACTGCGGCCAAGCTGCTGCTGGAGGCGCTGGGAGGGCTTGGGAATGAGCAAGAGCCACTGGAAAGGACCCAGAGCCGGTTTTTTCCCCGTCCGAGAGCCGGCGGGGCCCCGCCACCCAGCCGCTCTCCCTGCCCGGCCGTGCCAGCACAGCACAATCTCTTGCTCATAAATGGCTGGCGGGGAGCGGCGGGTCCGGGGCTGCTGCGCCAGCTCCGCCGGCCGGGGCTCATTACCATGAGAATTTTGACAGGATATTAGATTTACTAATCCTGAACTTTCCGGGCTGACCCCTCACTCGCGAGCAGACAATGCCGGTGTCTGCCGGCCAGGCCCCTCCGCCTGCCCTCAGCATGTTTTACTCCCCCCGCCCCCGGCACACGCACAACCCACACGAGGGCACCCCGGGCCGAGGGCTCCTCCGGCCGCCGCCCCTCCTCGCCTGGCCCGGCCGTCCCTCCGGCCCCCCCTCCAGCCGCCTTCCCTCGCTGCCTCTGTCCTCTCCTCCGACCCAGGTCGCTTGGCTGTGCCCCGTTTCCATTAGGAAGCTGAGCCCTGTACGGGAGCAGGGCCCGGCCGCTGCCCCGAGCCCCGCTGCGGGGGCTGCACGCGCCGCTCCCGCCCCGGGCCAGCTCTTCCCACCGGCCCCCTTCCCCCCCCCGCCCCAAACCGGCCCCTCCTGAAAACACAGTGCCGATTAAGTTGCTGAAAACAGCAGATTTCCACTGATACTATACAGATAGAGCTGACCATTAAATTGCAATTTTACATCCCCAGGCAGCAGTGGCTGCTGACAACCTCTAAAGCTTGTAATCCCATTTAACCCCCTCCTGTCATGAGCAGGCCCACCCTTTTGGAATAATGCAGGCCAAATTAAACCTGACACGGCAACAAGAGAAATAAAACCCCCTTTAGCTTAAAAGTCATGCCACAGTGGGTAACCCTGACCTTCGGCTTCCCCTCTCCCTTCTCCAGGGAGCCCCCCCAGATGCTGGCGTTGACAGAGGCGAGAGCGGGGGAATTGCAAAGCAGCTGGATGGCCCTGGGGACAAATTAAAGGGAATTTTGCTAGACAATAGAAGGAAATTTCACCTGAGGGTTTGGTTTTTTTTTTCATCCCCCCCTTTTTTCTAAGTCTTCCTTTTGTAATAAAAAATGAGCCCTGATCACTCACTGCCAACTCTTTCCTGCCTGGCCTGGCTGTCAAAGACCATCCCTATTGAAGCAACCTCAGCCAGTGTTACAGCCGCCTTGCCTCAGAGAGGAACCTCAGGTTTTCACAGCCCACGGCTGGCGTTTAGTGCCGATTTCAGAAGGAAGCTGACCACTTCTAAGGTCCCCTAAAACAAACACAAACCCGCAAAAAAAAAAAAAAAATCCCTCCCTAGCTCAAACTCATGACTATAGTCCATCTCCTTTGTTGGGAGAGGAGGGGAAAGGCACGTCAGGGTGAGACTCGTCCTGCATTATTCGCACACTGCTAGTCCATGAGTACAGGAGGAGCTTTCAGACCTAACCCAAGCAATATTGCGCTTATTACTCTGGTCTCATTTGGGGAAATAGCGCTGTTTGTTTGATAATATTTTTGAGAATACTGGACTATATGGACAAGCCTCTGTAAACAGTGTACATCCCCACCACCGCACCAGCTTGCAAATGTGGGGGATGGCTTTTCACACCTAATCTACACACAAGCAGACCACCATAAGTTTCTCCCCAGTTCTCCTCTCTGTTTACTGCCTGGTAAAGAGAAAAGACAAAAGTCAGAAAGCACCTGCATGCAGAAAAAAGCCACATTGCCACTCTATCTTCAATTTCTTATTTCTCTCTTTATGACAGATGCAATGGGAATATGATTCTATAGCAAAAATACAAACCACTGCATTTTTCTACCTGTCCATCTGTCTACGAATACACACCTGTATGCAACCAGACTTGCCCTTTCCATCCACGACACTTTTCTCAGCACTCCCCCACCTGCCCTTATTTCTGTACGCTGAAGATCACGCTAACAAAACACCTTCCAAAACACTGCAGCAGGAGAGGTAAATGCCCGGATCGAGTGGAAAGTTTGCTGCGGAAGTTTGCAAGCTGCTTACAGCGAGCCTCTGCAAGGGACCCTGTCCGCACCACACCATTTCGCCCGTAACTCACCGAGTCACTCTCCTAGAGGCCCCACAGCGGGAATGAACTTGCAGCACTTCTAAATAGTGGAGCACCAAAACAGCAGGCTCATTACCTGGACACATGGCTTCTCATTACTTCATTGCTTCAGATGCCAGATCCCTTGATGCTGCAGATCAGCTCAAAAATTTGAAGTACTCCTTCCTTTTTCCCCCCCTTTCCAATTTTCTTTCTTTCATTCATTCTTTAAAAAAAAAAAAAAAGGATGCTTGACTAAAGTTAGCTTAAATTTGTTAAGAATAAAACCGGCATAAATGTTTATTTCGACTTCCTAGTGCGGCAGTGTACCGAAGCCCAGCCCGCCCAAGCCTCTTTAGCAATGGAGTGGTTTATTTAATTTGTCAGTATAATAGAAGCAGCTGAGTGAGAGACAGAGAATGCAGTGTGGTATAAAAGAAACAAAGGCTAAAAGTACCACTATTTTGATTCCCTTTTTAAAATTACTTCCAAAGTGTGGTATCTATTGTGAAGAATAATGCTGAACAAAGCACAGTGTCTTGGCAATATTCACAGAGCTCATTCACAGAGCCAGTTCTGTCTGTACATTCAGAGGTAGAATACACTTATAAATGATGCATTGGAAGGACTATAGTTCCTATTGTATTCCCAGTGTAAACAAAAAGACAGACAGAAGCTGAATGGCATATGGGCAGCAGGGCCACACTTTATTCAACCATTCCAGCACCATTGTGAAGGTAAAATGGGATGGGAGTTCTCTCTTCAAATCCAGTGAACACATTTTGGGTTAGGCTAACAATTTTTATATATATAAAACACAGATCTGGTGGTAATTTTGTACAGTTCTGTGGAAAAGTGATCTTTAAAGCAATCTACAATAGGGATTGCTGTCAAGTTTTGGAGGTCATTCCCAATGGAATTAAGTAGCCTCTGGAGAAGACTGGCTGAAAGAGGATCTGTATGTTGGCTGTAAAGGTGGGTGCATGATGCATAGAGCCAAAATGGCCTAAACCAGCAGTAGCAAAAGCTGGCAAGGAGGCTGAGGTGCTCAGGATCCAACCTACCTGGAAGAAGATGTGCTACTGGAAGGGGCTTTCTTTGTATGGACTGGAGTTTATCCCTCTTTTTGCACAGTTGAACCCCATTTGTTAGACAGAAAAGACTGTCTGAGCCTGCAAAAGGAGATTGGTAACTTTGCCAGATGAGCATAAATCGCCTTTACTAAGGTAGGCAATGTCCCTGCTGAAGAGTTTATGGTCAAAGCATCTTCACTGTGTTTGAAGGGGACGAAAAACCACTTATGTGGAAGAAATATTAAAATTAGATGTGTCCTTTCTGCCCTTGCTGTGTCAACTGATGCCAGGAAGTTTTAGGATCACTAGCTCCTCTTCCTTCCTTTATATTTTCTGCTGCTACAGAAAGGCTCATGTGCTGAAACTCTACTCACTGGATTCAGTCTTTCTGATTCTTGCAGGCATGCCTGTGTCTGTGTGATACAGTGACCCTGCTGCGCATCACACTCCTTGGTCGCATTTGGTGGGACTTGTGCAAGTGGTGCTAAGGGACTAATCTGCCTTTTCCTTTTTTTCTTTTCCTTCTTCTGTTGGCCCTGTTGCATTTGCTCCTTGCTCACCGTGGGTGATCACTGACTGAGTTCCAGCAACCAGGCTAGGAATATCTTTGATTTTGTCTGACAGCTGTTTTGTGCTTGGTACAGCTGGGGCCAGGCAGGATTTCACACCTGTTTGAAGTCACTGGAGTATGGTGTCCTTTGGGAGCTGAGGGAGGGTTGCAGTTGGAATGGGAGCTGTCTGGAGATGAGTCTGCCTGACCTGTTCTGGTATTAAAAAGCCTGGCAGAATTTGCTTTGTTCTGATGTGATGGAGATTTTGCAAGTTTCTGCCTTAGATAAGTCACTGTTTTATCAAGGTCTAACATGATCATGTAAATAAAAGAAAGCATTCCAGATGAGGATTACTCAGCTTGATCCCTAAAGTTGAGTGCCTGCCTTTCTTTATGAGTATTTATAGCCTTTGATTAAAATAGAATCTGGAAACTCTGTGTCCCTGAGCACTTTCCTAAATTCTTTGATTCTATTCACAAGAAAATAGTATTTGGATTAAAGTATGTTTGATGTTTCCAAGAAAAAAACCCATCTAATACTATGTTTTCATTGCAAGTTGCTGCCTGCCAGAACTGATGCCAAGAAACCCAAAATATTTTAATGACTGTGCTTAGATGTCAGCACTGGTTACAGATGCTTGTGTCCTCCAACTAGAATTTTTCTCTGTAGGGATCAAGTTAGCAACCGAGGCAGTTGGAAGAGTCTGCAGCTGTTGTAGTACCATGGTCAGAGCTTGATCCAACATCTGTCAATGGACTTCATGAACTACCTTGCACAGCAAGAGTCCTGGGCAGAGCCCTAGGCAGAGTAGCTAGTGGCATCACATATGGCTGAAGGAGTGGGAAAAAACAAAGACTGTGCCAACAAAATGAATGGGTGAGTGACCAAAAGAAAAAGAGCTTGGAACTTGGAAGAAGACCTGGGCAGACTCGCTGTTATTGAGAAGGCATGTTTTCTCATCAACTTTATAAAGATTACGTCATTTTGTGCTGTAAATTTGAGGTGCAGATGGACACATTTTGCCAATTAGAAACCTACTTTAGG